AAGACTGAAGGGGAGGACGGAGGTCAGATATAAGACTGAAGGGGAGGACGGAGGTCAGATATAAGACTGAAGGGGAGGACGGAGGTCAGATATAAGACTGAAGGGGAGGACGGAGGTCAGATATAAGACTGAAGGGGAGGACGGAGGTCAGATATAAGACTGAAGGGGAGGACGGAGGTCAGATATAAGACTGAAGGGGAGGACGGAGGTCAGATATAAGACTGAAGGGGAGGACGGAGGTCAGATATAAGACTGAAGGGGAGGACGGAGGTCAGATATAAGACTGAAGGGGAGGACGGAGGTCAGATATAAGACTGAAGGGGAGGACGGAGGTCAGATATAAGACTGAAGGGGAGGACGGAGGTCAGATATAAGACTGAAGGGGAGGACGGAGGTCAGATATAAGACTGAAGGGGAGGACGGAGGTCAGATATAAGACTGAAGGGGAGGACGGAGGTCAGATATAAGACTGAAGGGGAGGACGGAGGTCAGATATAAGACTGAAGGGGAGGACGGAGGTCAGATATAAGACTGAAGGGGAGGACGGAGGTCAGATATAAGACTGAAGGGGAGGACGGAGGTCAGATATAAGACTGAAGGGGAGGACGGAGGTCAGATATAAGACTGAAGGGGAGGACGGAGGTCAGATATAAGACTGAAGGGGAGGACGGAGGTCAGATATAAGACTGAAGGGGAGGACGGAGGTCAGATATAAGACTGAAGGGGAGGACGGAGGTCAGATATAAGACTGAAGGGGAGGACGGAGGTCAGATATAAGACTGAAGGGGAGGACGGAGGTCAGATATAAGACTGAAGGGGAGGACGGAGGTCAGATATAAGACTGAAGGGGAGGACGGAGGTCAGATATAAGACTGAAGGGGAGGACGGAGGTCAGATATAAGACTGAAGGGGAGGACGGAGGTCAGATATAAGACTGAAGGGGAGGACGGAGGTCAGATATAAGACTGAAGGGGAGGACGGAGGTCAGATATAAGACTGAAGGGGAGGACGGAGGTCAGATATAAGACTGAAGGGGAGGACGGAGGTCAGATATAAGACTGAAGGGGAGGACGGAGGTCAGATATAAGACTGAAGGGGAGGACGGAGGTCAGATATAAGACTGAAGGGGAGGACGGAGGTCAGATATAAGACTGAAGGGGAGGACGGAGGTCAGATATAAGACTGAAGGGGAGGACGGAGGTCAGATATAAGACTGAAGGGGAGGACGGAGGTCAGATATAAGACTGAAGGGGAGGACGGAGGTCAGATATAAGACTGAAGGGGAGGACGGAGGTCAGATATAAGACTGAAGGGGAGGACGGAGGTCAGATATAAGACTGAAGGGGAGGACGGAGGTCAGATATAAGACTGAAGGGGAGGACGGAGGTCAGATATAAGACTGAAGGGGAGGACGGAGGTCAGATATAAGACTGAAGGGGAGGACGGAGGTCAGATATAAGACTGAAGGGGAGGACGGAGGTCAGATATAAGACTGAAGGGGAGGACGGAGGTCAGATATAAGACTGAAGGGGAGGACGGAGGTCAGATATAAGACTGAAGGGGAGGACGGAGGTCAGATATAAGACTGAAGGGGAGGACGGAGGTCAGATATAAGACTGAAGGGGAGGACGGAGGTCAGATATAAGACTGAAGGGGAGGACGGAGGTCAGATATAAGACTGAAGGGGAGGACGGAGGTCAGATATAAGACTGAAGGGGAGGACGGAGGTCAGATATAAGACTGAAGGGGAGGACGGAGGTCAGATATAAGACTGAAGGGGAGGACGGAGGTCAGATATAAGACTGAAGGGGAGGACGGAGGTCAGATATAAGACTGAAGGGGAGGACGGAGGTCAGATATAAGACTGAAGGGGAGGACGGAGGTCAGATATAAGACTGAAGGGGAGGACGGAGGTCAGATATAAGACTGAAGGGGAGGACGGAGGTCAGATATAAGACTGAAGGGGAGGACGGAGGTCAGATATAAGACTGAAGGGGAGGACGGAGGTCAGATATAAGACTGAAGGGGAGGACGGAGGTCAGATATAAGACTGAAGGGGAGGACGGAGGTCAGATATAAGACTGAAGGGGAGGACGGAGGTCAGATATAAGACTGAAGGGGAGGACGGAGGTCAGATATAAGACTGAAGGGGAGGACGGAGGTCAGATATAAGACTGAAGGGGAGGACGGAGGTCAGATATAAGACTGAAGGGGAGGACGGAGGTCAGATATAAGACTGAAGGGGAGGACGGAGGTCAGATATAAGACTGAAGGGGAGGACGGAGGTCAGATATAAGACTGAAGGGGAGGACGGAGGTCAGATATAAGACTGAAGGGGAGGACGGAGGTCAGATATAAGACTGAAGGGGAGGACGGAGGTCAGATATAAGACTGAAGGGGAGGACGGAGGTCAGATATAAGACTGAAGGGGAGGACGGAGGTCAGATATAAGACTGAAGGGGAGGACGGAGGTCAGATATAAGACTGAAGGGGAGGACGGAGGTCAGATATAAGACTGAAGGGGAGGACGGAGGTCAGATATAAGACTGAAGGGGAGGACGGAGGTCAGATATAAGACTGAAGGGGAGGACGGAGGTCAGATATAAGACTGAAGGGGAGGACGGAGGTCAGATATAAGACTGAAGGGGAGGACGGAGGTCAGATATAAGACTGAAGGGGAGGACGGAGGTCAGATATAAGACTGAAGGGGAGGACGGAGGTCAGATATAAGACTGAAGGGGAGGACGGAGGTCAGATATAAGACTGAAGGGGAGGACGGAGGTCAGATATAAGACTGAAGGGGAGGACGGAGGTCAGATATAAGACTGAAGGGGAGGACGGAGGTCAGATATAAGACTGGAGGGAAGGACGGAGGTCAGATAGCAGACTGAAGGGGAGGCCGGAGGTCAGATAGAAGACTGAAGGGAAGGACGGAGGTCACGATCATTTATAGAAGGTTTCCATTTCCTGTTCGGTGTTATCTTTCTGATGAACGCTCAGCCATGGAGTCCCCGGGGGGGAGATTCGCCGTCCCTATTATTCTTCATGATAATTGTCAGTAGCCGCGCTGTGTGTTCCTCGGGGACTGTCCATGGTGTGGTTTCTTCTGAGATATAATTAATCTAGAGGGGCCCCGGGGTCACCTGTGTCACCTGACTCCCTTCTATAAATCAGGCGGATCTCAGGATCTCCGGTCATCTGTGTGCGGAGGAGAGACGGTGAGTGTCATAAAGGATTGTATATGGAGGCGCAGAGGGCGGAGCTTCCTCCTATTATATTATTATAATATACATACCGCCAACATCTTCTATGACTCTGTATACATAGCGGGCGTTTATAGGCAAACGCAAAGATATTTATATTTCTATAGCTCTGACATATACCACAGTGCTGTACAGAGAACACTGAGCAGGTCACATCAGTCTCTGTACAGAGGAGCTTACACTCTAATGTCCCCCGCACAGTCACACTATTATTATACATGTATATGGCTCTGACATATACCGCAGTGCTGTACAGAGAACACTGAGCAGGTCACATCAGTCTCTGTACAGAGGAGCTTACACTCTAATGTCCCCCGCACAGTCACACTATTATTATACATGTATATGGCTCTGACATATACCGCAGTGCTGTACAGAGAACACTGAGCAGGTCACATCAGTCTCTGTACAGAGGAGCTTACACTCTAATGTCCCCCGCACAGTCACACTATTATTATACATGTATATGGCTCTGACATATACCGCAGTGCTGTACAGAGAACACTGAGCCGCTCACATCAGTCTCTGCAGAAATGAAGTTGCAGAATGTTTTTCGGCACGGTGTAGTCACTTTTACATCTATATAGTACATTTTATTTATATACAATGTACAATTTTTTTTATAACCCTTTAGCTGTCGTCCACATGTGCCGCACATCGGCAGTAGCGGGGCCCTGTACATGTGTCAAGCGATTGAGGCGGCTGTAAGGCTACCCAATCCCTTCCACGGTGTCACTTAGGCGTGCTAAGGCAGCTGACGTCACATCCAAGCGGCGGCACTCAGCAGCAGTCTCGGGGCTTTTGGATGTCTACACGAGGGAGGCAAATAACATCAAATACATTAGAGGGACATTTCATTTTTCGAGGGAGGATCTTTGTTGAAATGAATGGTCTAGTGACAGGGTCTCTTTAACCACCTGCTGTCCGGCCATTGTAATTAAACGGACAGCGGCTTCTTGATGGCGGGTGGGCGTCTTTAGACGTCCCCTCCCGCCCTGTTCGTACCGGCTTTGAATGTAAACAGCCAGCGATGGTTGTTTACATACAAGCGTTCAGGTGTCTGTAGAGACGCCCGATCGCTTGTAATATGCGTTCGGGTGTGCGTCACCCCCTCCGCCGCTGCTGGCGATCCCGGGCTCCGCTGTTCCCGGTGTGAGCCCGGGACCAGCACAGCAGCTCTGCGGCCGGAGCTCAGTACACCAGCTCCCTCTGATCTCCAGAAACCGGAGAGAAGCTGGTGAAGCAGGTCTCTGCTTCATCAGCTTCTCTGGGGGGTCCCTAGGTGACATTAGGGGTCTTAAAGACCCCTGATGTCTCCATAAAGAGGACCTGTCACTGCAAATTGGCTATCACATAGGGAGCTTGTTCTTTTAAACATTTTCGGTACTTTTTTCATTATACAGTAAAATAAAAAACCCGCAGTGGTGATTAAATGCCACCAAAAGAAAGCTCTATCTGTCCCCAAAAAATGGTATAAAATTAATTTTAATACAGCGCTGCATGACGGAATAAATGTCAGTCAAAGTACCGCAGCGCTAAATACTGAAAAACGGCCTGGATGGGAAGGGGGTGTAACACACCGCGGTCAGCAAGGGGTTAATATGATGTAATCTGACCTGATCTATTGACTGGTTGATGCAACCAATTGGTTGACTTCTCATTACAAGTGTTTTGTTTTTTAATCAGTGATTGGCTGCTTTATTCCCGACAGTAACTGGCCATGCTCCATGTTCCCAACACTAGCTTCCACATGCCATCCGCGTTCCTCCTCATCGGAATCCCCGGGATAGAAAATGGAGCCACGTGGACATCGCTCGTCTTCTGCGTCCTCTATGTCCTGGCCATCCTGGGCAACAGCGCCTTACTGTACATCATCAAAACCGAGGAGAGCCTCCACACCCCCATGTTCTTCTTCCTCTCCTTGCTCGCCCTCAACGACTTGGCCTTCTGCAGCTCTACCGTGCCCAAGACTCTGGGGATCTTCTGGATGAACGGCGGCCTCATCGACGCCACCAGCTGCCTGACGCAAATGTTCTTCGTCCACTGCCTTTCGGTCATTGAGTCGGGAATCCTGACCGCCATGGCGTACGACCGCTTTGTGGCCATCTGTTCCCCGCTCAGATACAGTTCGGTCCTCACCTACAGCCTCCTGAGGAAGATCGCGCTTGCCATTCTGCTCCGAGCCATTGCGCTCATCTTCCCCATTCCGCTCCTGGTCAGGCAGCTGCAGTACTGTGGCGACAATATCGTGCTGCATACGTACTGCGACCACATGGCCGTGGTCAATGTAGCATGTGGAGACAAGCGGGTGGACAACGTCTATGGGTTAGTCATGTCTCTTTTTGTCACCGGCTTCGACCTGCTCTTCATTGGACTGTCCTACTCCATGATCTTACAGGCCATCTTCAAGATGCCCACCAAGGACGCTCGCCAGAAGGCCGTAGGGACCTGCGGCTCCCACATCAGTATTATTTTCATCGCTTATTTCAGCGCCATTTTCTCGTTCCTCACATACAGGTTTGGTCAAAAGACCATCCCCCATAGCGTCCATATCCTTTCCTCCAATATGTTCATCTTGTTCCTGCCCTTCTGGAACCCGCTCGTCTATGGCGTGAAGACAAAGAAAATCCGACAACGGGTTCAAAGGATTCTGTTTTACAATCAAAGTACATTTCCACCGAGCCGGCATTAAAAAAGAACTATGGGGTCAGGTGCTTTCCCCCATAGTTCTCCTAAGGGTAACGGGAAGACACAAACTAGCGTCCTCCCGTCACCCTAAGCTCAGTATATAGGGAGCTACAGCTCGCGGTATACTGAGACGCCGCAGCCGGAACAGATCCCGACATTACTGTCTGGATCCACCCAGCTGCGGGATTGACAGCTGGCTCTGCCTATCCAGAGGCAGAGCCAGCTGTGCCCGCCCCCTCCCCTGTCCGTTCCACCAGTCAGCGCTGGAGAATCGGACAGGGGAGGGGGGAGAATCCCTGCAGGGAGCGGTGAGTGACAGTCACGGCTCTCTGCAGTGACAGAATCGAGAAGTGAGCGAGTGCCGGTATGTGTTCCCTCACTTCCCGATCTACTGAGCCGACCTGTGACAGTCTCATTGTCGCACGTCGGCTCAGATTACGAGGCTGAGTGAAAATCACTCGCCTCATAGTTCTCCTTTAAGTAAAAGTGGTATTTCATTTTAGAGGACATTCCAATGGAAATGGAATGGATGGAGCTTAATCACTAAATTAAAAAAAATACAAGTACAGCCCGCCCTACCATCAGCCCCCAACCATAGAACACCGAACCTCCAAGTGTAACTACGGGCAAAACCAAAGCTTACATATAGTACATGATGTTTGTCAATACCATTAACGTGGACCCGGACTCAAGGAGGTTGAACCGAAGATCTGCTGCACAGGCTATTCACAATAGACCCGTACAGCGGCCGAGCGGCTCAGCCGGGCAGAAGGCATATGCTTGGGCTCGTCTGAGCCGTAGTGACAGCTGTAGAGGGGCAAAAGACAAAAGGACAAACGCCCTGCAAACGACAGCTGGGCGGAGCCAGCCGTGATCTCATGGCTCGCTCCGCCCAGTTGTAATGACAGATCAGCATCCCCAAATGACCTGGGGGCGCTGATCTGTCATTAAAAAAAGCCAGCCATGGGGTCACAGCCAGCTCCGCTCAGTTGTTATTCATTGGCCAGGACCTGTTAGAAGACTCTAGCAGGTGCCGGCCAATAGGAAACAGTTGTTTTTTAAATTTCTTTTTTATTTCCTATTTGTTTTCATTTTGGCAACGGTTTTATTTTTTGTTTCTCCTTTTAACTTCTTTTGTATTCTGCTCGGTACCTGGGAGGTACCGATCACAATTCCCCTGAGCCAAATGCCGCTCGGCGGCATTCGGCTATTCACTCACGGCCATTCGACCCCTATGAGAATAGAGGCGAGCCGCAGCAAGTCAGCTGCCGGAGCTTCGGCTCAGCCGATCCAGGTGTTGGATCGGCTGAGTTGAAGTCGCTCTGCACTTCGGCTCAGCTGAAGATACAGAGCGTGTTAGGCTGACTGAAGGCAGCCAATGTACAGCTGATTTCAGCCGTACTGAGACGGTGTGAATAGCCGAACGTAGTTCATCTCACTTCACTTCGGCTGGGTCATCAACTTGGCTGACTTCGGCAGCTTTGTGAATAGCCCCCTTAGAATTGTTATTGGTACCTAAGCCGTACCCTATAAGATTTACCTTTTGTCTTTATTTCCTCCAGAAATATAACAGTGCACTTCCTGTGCCTACAGCCTCATAGCTATTCATCATCTCAGGCACTGTTACCTCTGACTGCTGGTGTCACCGGATCTGGAGTGAGATTTGGTGATGTCACCACTGTGATGATCAATGTTCTCCTTGCTGGAGAGGAAGCTGTCCCTGAGGACCTGCAGTGCAAGGATCTCCCTGCTTCTTCCATTCTGTGGATCTGTGCTTCCACTACCTCTCCTGCTGCTTCATTGGTACCCCACCAGTCATCAGATCACCAGTCATCAGGGTCTGAGAAACAAATTCTTGCTTCTTTTCCAAGATGGCTGCCTCTAGCCATTCTGGACCAATTCAAGATAAGACAATAATGGAGAAAATAGCAGCCAGGGCCATCCATAATATGAGGCAGCCTGAGACTCTTGCTTCAGGTGGCTTCTCTTTGCGCAACGTTCTTTGCAGCCAAAGCGTTAGAGATTGCTAAGAGCCTGACAGGGAGATGTAGCCGGGCCATACACATCTCCTCTCAGCTCTTAGCAACCAGGAACCCAGCATCCCGGCCAAGCTCCTGGGAACCTATGACGTCACTGGTTGCCTGGAGGTGAGCGGGACACTCTGGCTGGTGTCCTGCTCAGGTCTTTGCAACCAGTGATGTCAGTGAGCTGAGCGGGATGCCAGACAGAGCTGGGTGGTGCACCACCAGGACCTCCAGCACCCCATGAAATACCCCCCGGAATGTGACCACCAGCACCCCCACCCCACCTCAGGAGGCGATTATGCTACCGTAGGAACACCCCTGATAGGAGCTACAGGAAGATAACAATCAATACCGGTGACCAGTGCTTTGTCCTCTGCTTGTCTTTTTTTGGGCACAGCTTCCACAAGCCAGGTTCTTTTTAACAGATTTTTTCCCCTTTTTGGACTCCTCCACCTTCCAGTTTTATTACCTGTTGATTCTGTTAGCAGATCTGTTATTTTTCCACTTCCTGTAACAGGTTGACAACAATGTCTGTTCTGCAGTGAAATCGAAGCCTGGAGACGGCGTAGTCTTAGATGGACGTGGACCTTCAAATGGACTTTAAGTAAAATGGGGGCAGGGCCAAAAAAAATTACATAGCTGCATAGTTAGGTTGAAAAAGACACATGAAGTCCATTGAATTCAACCTATGTGTATAATAAGTCTCTGCAATACATGAGCATTTCCCCATGTGTTATCCCTTCAAAGACTCTGCAAGTACACAAAAATACCTCTTGATCTCCCAGAAATGCCCTCAGCTCCTAAAACCCGCCCTAGGCTGAAAATACACAGAATGTTGCTGGTGTCAGCCCTGTACTAGTTGTACTTTGCTAAACTACTCAAGGCAAGGAACAGTGGAACTCAATCGATCATGTGTGAGATGTGCTGGAAAAACAAATCCGATCCATGGAGGCCGATCACCTCACAACTTACAGGACTTAAAGGATCTGCTACTGACGGCTTGGTGCCAGATACCACAGCACACCTTCAGATGTCTAGTGGCAATCCATGCTTGAAGGGGTCAGGAGAAGGGGGACCTAGTCAATATTAGGGGGGCCATCCAGATACCACAGCACACCTACAGAGGTCTAGTGGGGTCCATGCCTTGATGGGTCAGGAAAAGGGGGACCTACTCAATATTAGGGGGTCATCCAGATAACATATCATACCTTCAGAGGCCTAGTGGAGTCCATGCCTGGACAGGTCAGGAAAAGGGGGACCTACTCAATATTAGGGGTGGTCATCCAGATACCACAGCACACCTTCAGAGGTCTAGTTGGGTACATGCCTTGATGGGTCAGGAAAAGGAGCGACCTACTCAATATCAGACGGGTAGTCATAATGTTATGGCTGATTGGGGAATATACACACACCAATATGGAAAAATCTGTTCTTACCCTTTAAGAAATAAATTGAAAAACTGACCAAAGTCATTGTCACCCGTCCTTGTTTTTTTTTTCAAACAAACTTTATTCAATTTTTTGACTACCCCCACATGGGGTATAGCCTTTTTTAACAAATGAAATGGCTTGACATACAGTTTTTGCATCTTGGGGTCGCTCATCGCATCCCCCATCAGTATATCTTAGCTTCTCCTTTTCTAACATTCCCAACTAAAATTATCAATAACATTCCCGTGCTGGCTGCCATCTTTTTGTTACTTGTCAATTTGTAAACTCTACGTATATAATGCTCTTAATGCTCTTAAGGGTGTCAGGTGTGCTTATCAAAACAACTTATGGGTTATACCTTCACATCTAAATTATACATTTTGCATTACACTTTATGGTACTTCCAGGACTCCCAGGCTATTGGACAGTTTGGCTTTAAGGTACCAGTCTGAATATATAAAGGGTTGCATTATGTGGATCAACTCCGCCCCTTCGAAAGTTGCTTCCACACAGTATTTCCAACGTTTGAAGAACCTAGTAGTTAGTGCATCCCCCTGCGTTTCAGTGTACAGTTTTTCACGGAGAAATAACATTTTCAGTTCTGAGGTGACCTTCGCTATTGATGGTGCGGAAGATGCATTCCAAGATCTCATTATGCATCTCCGTGCCGCTAGCAGGCATACATGAAGCCAGTCACTACCCTTGTAGGACGAGCAGTGCGGTTCCTCGGCCAAGTACTCGAGGATACTGAAAAGGTATAGCAATGGATTCAGACGTGGGGTCCACTTCAGGACTGTTTTGACATAGGAAGCCACGCTTGTCCAGAAATGCATCATGGAAGGGCACGTCCATAAACAGTGGGCCAATGATGGGCGAGACAGTCCACATTTAGGGCACAGGGACAGCAGTTGCTGCGGAGTCGCTCCGGTGGGTAGGAAGTACGCCACATAAGCCCGGTGCATTATTTTAAATTGAGTCTCCCTCCAGGTTTCATTGACAACCAGCCTGCGTACCAGATTGTATCCATCCACTATGCGTTCTACTAGGTCTGGGGTTGGGAAGTCTTTTGACCATTCTTTTACATTTGATGAAGATAACTTGGCCACATACGTGAGCTGAAGCCCCGGATAAATATCGGAGATAGAATAGTTCCCTCCAGATATTAGTGTCTCTACGAATGTTGTGGCAAAACAATTTGTTTTCGGGTCACTGGAAAAATTTTGCCATGTCATTGTAGGCTGTAGGTAATACAAGAAATGGGAGGAAGGCAGAGAATACTGTCTTGCCAGTGCCGGGAAGGATAGGGGCTCAAACAGGGGCTCTAATAGCGTATCTTCTCAGAAGCTGCACCCAGCGCGCACAAGCTTCTGACAGTTTGGGAGACGGGAGGCTGCAATTGGCGGTCGATCAGGTGAGTATTAAAAACAAAAAAAAAATGTTTATTTTATGTTCCCAGGGACATAATTTGAATGGAGATGTCCTTCCAGGCCAAGACTGTGTCCCTGATTAACAAGTGACGGCTTAGCGTCCCCGGCAGCTTGGACAGTTTG